CCCCCCAATTCGCATGAATATTATCCGGGAGGAAGCGATCGATCAATCAAATCAGAAATTCAGGTTTCCAGTATAGAGGCTACAATTTTTACTTGCATGTCTATCAAACGGACTTTTGTTCTAGTCTAATAGATTCCGACAAAAAATGTCTGCAAGTCACTTCGCGTGCTAGCTAGCCAGCCTAACATTTGGGACTAAAGTGAATCAATTTTGAGGTGATAAAATCTTGAAAAATTAGTCGTTCAAAACCCTGGCTAAAAGCTAAAATCTATAAATAGCAGAAGTGGGGGTTATAAACTTCGCAGTACTGGGCAACAGCCAAATTCCTCTAAAGTAGGCTTCAAGTTATAACAAAGCCAGTCTTTAAAGCAAGCGCGCAAGTGGAGTTAGCAAATTAGTCAAACTTAAACAAATACCAGGTCTAGGCCAAAACACAGGCCTAAATGAAAGCCCGAGGGAGAAAGATCACAAGATAATTGTTTGGGTACAGGTGAGCGTGATGATTTAGTGCGTGTGCATGGGCAATCGAGTGCTAAGCGTTTTAAGAGAAAGAGTTATTATCCGCGTGGGAATAAAGCGCTGTATTTTCTCAAATAATTCCTTCCAAAGTGGTGCTGTTTGATCAAATTATAATCCCACCACAAAAATAGGATTCAATACACGTGAAAAGAACCTGCATATAAAAGCTCGTGACTGAGCGAGTAGATAGGGCGATATTACTTATGCCCCAAAAGTAGCAAAAATAACAAAAATTAATCGCATACGCTTTAAGTGACACATGCCTTTCATAAGTGCAGGAAAAAAGATGGTTAATTATCTCATATTGCAACGATAAAGAAGAAGATAACACTCATAATTTTGGTAGAAGTGGATATTACTTACATTTAACACGTAGAAACCGATATCAACCAAGAGGCAGTAAAGAGCATTCAAAGGCATACCTTCATCCTTGAATGCCTTAACAAGAAAAGGCATCTTATATATTCTTGCTTGTAACCGCAAAGGTAAAATACGTATGAAACTTGTCTGTAAATGGCTACATCCTCGTGTCTAGCTGCCCCACCTTCCATCAAAGAGGTGTGCATTGTGTCACGTGACACCCTAGCACAAAGAACGCGATGTAGGAGCACGTTAAGAATCCCTTGTTCCAATTCTCGCGTAGGGTTCATACAACTAACCAAATCGGTATAGCAGAAAAAAAATTGTCTCCTGCGTTAACCAAGATTAATAGTTGGCTAGGCAGCTTCCAATATGAGATTATTACAAGTTGGGAATGGGGAATGACAACACAAATAACAACCCCGTTAGGGCCAAGAGTGATATAAAAAATAGCTGGCTGGGGGATTATAAAAAGGGGTCATTTCTTGTGCCACACCCATAAATGTTACTTGTGCACTCCATTGTTTACTTTTATTGAAGAAAAGATTTCAAGGTAGTAGTGAAAAATAAGAAGTGTTGGGTTAGGAGTTAGGTTCTTGACCCTGTAAGTTTAACAGACGAATGATGTAGGAAAGCAGAGTTGAACATAAGATTATATTGGCTGGTTTCAACATAAGAAACAGAAAGTGAGACAAGTGGGAATCAGGTGAAATGGCAAGGGAACTCTACTCAAACAAATGCCCAGTTATTAAACGATATGCATTATTTGAGAAAAACAGAAAAGTGGACACGAGGTCTATTCCTCATCTAAACGGTTAATTTGTATAAGAATATAATGACATAAGACAATAGGATAACGCTCTAAAAAGGAATATATGGAAAGGGAAAACATCGAAAAGAAGCCAGCCTCTATAAATAGCAATCGACTTTAGGGATGAAAACAAAACCTAAGGAGACAAATAAATGCGAATTTGCAAATGGGAAATAAGACATCATGGGGATGACGAAGTAGCCTCAATTTGAATTTGTCAACTGAAATTTGGAATATACGAGAAGCTTTTAAGTTGGATTTTCAAAATATGACTCAAAACAATCCAAAGACAATTCGGCCACAAAGCCAACCTTGTAAAGGTTCAAAGCCCCTAAAGCATCGAAAATAAGTATTTTTTCAGCACACATCTTGGGAATTTATGGGAATACGACCAGTGACTTGTCGGACATTTGCGTTTCTCACTAAGCCAACAATGTATTGGAGATGAATAGAATTAAAGATGATAAAGTTATCAAGGGACCTATTAAAATGCACTTTCGAAAATGGCATCTCAATAGAAATGGGACTCTGATACCAGTATGACAACCATTAATCGTAAAAGGGCTTTTTTTTCTCAGTATTACCTCGATAAAAGTAGATACACACGCCTACTAAACCCATAAAATGCAAAAACTTTCATTATATACCATTTGAATTCAATTTAAAAGGGCACCTATCTATAACTTGGTAGAAAGTAAAAAAAGCCTTCGAATGTTAGTGGGTGAGGAATTTGAAACACGAAATCACATGATTCAAGAATAAATTAACTACGGATAGGCATAGTAATAAATAAGAAAATGGCATATTGAAATAAATTAAATTAGCATTTTTCATTTTAAGTTAATTTAAAATGTAGTATTAATAAAAGATCAAGGTAGAAATGATCAACTCACAAAACTCCTCATCAGGCACTTGAGATAACTTGATATCATCCATGTATTTGATCAACCGTTCGATTAAAAACTGTCGAACTTCCAGAGGTGGAAGACGGTTTTTTAGGAAGCGTTTGGTGACATTCTTCCCTTTATTATTGAAAAGCGTAGGCTGTTCAGTAATCCAATTGGCGTTGTCTGCAACATCTTCGGAAGAACTGAGGCGTTGCAAGATGTCAATAGCATTTTTAGTATCTATAAGAGAAGCTGCGATGTATTCCAAACAAATCCAAGCTAGAGCATGACTGCAAGCCGATCCAGAATGTCCGTCGATAATTGTAAATACCGCTTTTGAAATAGACTCACCATCCTAAAATTTAATATGCATTAATAACTACATTCACTATGATTTTCATTTAAAAAATCATATCATACTTTTATGAAACAACAATTCCATCTATCCTCTATGGGATTATTAGCACCTAACTGGCCAACATGGATTCTGTGAACCGGACAATTTGAGGTAATGAGATTTTGCTTGGTATAATCCGCAACATTAATATGAATTGATTTCGTATCAAGGAAATTATCTAAGTGCTCAGTCATTATAGAACTACGGAATGGAGAGAGGAAATTGGAATGAGATGCTGGAACTTGCTCACCACACGGGCTTTGTCGAGTACCCTCATTCCTTTTGGAATTAAAGTTCGGGCGTATATTTCTCAATAATTTTGCTAAAATGAGAAATAAACTACATTATGAAATTAATCCAAGTGTAATATATGTTGCATATTGACAAAAATATATCCCATAATTTACTAATAGATACACCTAACAACCAATCAAACCCACATATTCCCATTTCGCATATGGGCTGCTTCGAAAGTCGATCTTTTTTGCAATAATGAGACGATAAAACAACATTGACCTTAATGGTAAAGTTAGTGTGATATATTTTTAAAAACGAAAGCTTGTTCAAATATAATGTAAAGATGAAATTTTCTGGAGATAAGTTACAATTCTTTCATTTCCATTGTATTTTTGGAAAAAGGATCCAATAATTAAGGTTACTCTTGACAAAGGTAACTATATTCAGATGTAGCTGCATTAACCTTTTTACAAACCTATATTGTGAAACAATCTGCATTGATATGAATTCTATGAAAACTACCAATTTGAAGTTTTTATTTATAGAATAGAAACATTTACCTCTGTTCGATTTACTTGGGTAAAAGAAGAGATCTGATCTGCGCAAATTGAATGTTTTAAAGTTTTTTTTTAATATTTCAGTAATTTCATTGAGGAAAATCGCCGAGGGCTAACAAAATTGCCAGATATTTACTTAAATCTGGGCATTCCATTCTGGTAATAAGCTTACGAATAATGAAAGTTAAATATGTTTTAACCATATCTTTCTCTATTTTGGCGGCTATTGGGATTCTACACATTCATGCTCTTCTTCTTATGTTTAGCACAAAATATAAGCAGAGCAAAATTGATATATTTTGTCCATTAACCCTCCATTCTAATTATAATGACATCTAATGCAATCAGAAATTATCAGGTCCCGTGAATAACAACTACGACAGTCTTTAAATGCTTGCTAACACATGAAAACTACACAGTTGCAGCTAATTAGCGTCCAGACTTGAGCGATATATATAGTCTAATTATTCATAAATTGAGGTGGCATTATTGTCAGCTTCGCATTGATCTAATAGTATATATTTCCGGAATTATTCATTCCATGCCGTCCCGGCAAAACATATTTTAGTACATTTAATTTTCTTTTAAGCATCACTCGCACAATAAAGAATTAGCTTGATTATTTTCCTATAATTCCACTTTAAATTTGTTGCTTCTTGGCTTATTTATTTATATAAATCTATTCTTCTTATAAACCACTGCTGCGGTCACGCACTACACCTTCTTCGCTGCTCTGAGTTTGTTTTATTTTTTGTCAGTAAAACTTTCAAAAATGTGGTCTCAATTCCGACTGACGGATGTGTGATAAGAGATCAATTGGAATAAAAAAAAGAGTTAACTAACGTACAAACTTAGGAGATGAAAACAGAATTCTTTCCATGCACTCTTTTCAGCTGGTTAACAAATAATATTTCACAGTAATAAAAACTTTTATGTGTGCTAAATTAACACAATATTCAGAAAATATAATTATACAGAGTAAAGGGAATTTAATAATGAAGTTATTGTTAATACACAATGATCCCAATTAGGTGTTTAGAGACTTTAACTATTCAAAACACAACCATTAAATTAGAACTTACGAATACTTCCTTCCATTATCTTTACCCTGTGAGTAAAGATCCGTCAAGTTTTTACCGCAATACCCATTTTGGGGAAAAAGAAAATATTCAAGGATAGTACTTTAAATATTTTCGTTATTCTGAAAAACAAATAATATCCCTATTTTTGTCATATTTCTGTTCTATAACTGGTCCTATACAATTAATTAAATTTCGAAAATGTCCCAATGGAAGGCCTTTAAGGTAAAAAATACAATAATTGCGTAAATCAGAAACTGTCTGCATTAAAAATCAAATCTGTCTTAACTTAAGAATGAAAATTTCCTATGCGTCCCCTTCTTTGTATTTTATCTCTTGTCTATTATACATTCGTGATGTAAAGCCTTCTTTGTAATGGAACAAAGACAAATTTGAGGAACAGAAAAAAAGTCCTAACTAAAATAAACATTTTTCACCTTGAGACAGATTATACAACATCCGAGAAACGATATGATGCTATGCAGTAATTAATATATGGAGAATATTGAATGATATTTTCTTAACTTAGCTAACATTTTACTACCACCAAGGGTGGAAGCGAAAATTGGTTGAAAGAACATTTCGGTGTACTGAGGGACCTATCTAAGGAATACATAGGCCTTCATTATAATGTAAATGATATTTCTATATAAATTGATATCGCCTGGAAAATGAAGATACCCATATTTATTGAAACACGCAAAGTGGCGATATTGTCTAGACGAGTGACTTAACGGTAATTTCACAATTCAGCTTGTTTATTTCGTCAAAAAGTCATATCTGAAGTCTTTATATAAAACATATTTTCATCGACTACAAATTGAAATATATATTTTTTCAAAATCCCGACCAGATTTATTGCCCAACGCCAAAAATTAGATAAATTTAGGTAAAATAATAGATTTTGATTTTCAGCAGAAACAAAACTAATTGGTAGTGAGAATACAAGTTGAATAATATTCAAATATACATGATATATAATAATTTTTGGTTTATGACGACATTATGGAAAAAGTCGAATGTAAAATTAGTCAGATATTTTCAAATCTTTCATTAAAATGTTTCATGTTCATTAGGAAATCATAAATGCAAATACATTTCCTTTTTCAACGTTCCTGAACAAATACCATGAGGTCTTAAGCATCTATTACACAAAATTATAAATAAAACTGGGAATAAGTTCGAATGACTAAGAGACAATGCTGTTGCCGTAGTGCTTTATTTTGTCTTCTGCAGTGAATGAAGTTCACTGATGCCACACTAGGAGGCTCCATAATCTCACTCTCCCCCAAAGAAAATAGGCGAAGACGTTATCATACACAGATTTGTGACTAATAATTACCATTTATTACAATTAACCCAAGTAAAACCTGGTTTTTAACAATATTGCCCACCTTATGCAAATGAAGGCCATATACACAAACTAATACAATAGTGGTTATTATCAAATTGCCAAAATTTAGCACTTATTAAAGTTAAAACAAGGAATGGTAATAAGCACATAGTCAAAATTTATAACTTAAATTGTTTGAAATGTGAAATTTTATAGTTTCGGTCATATTAATCTAAAGGCCTAACTTTGAACAACCAATGAAATTGTTTTAATGAGTAAAAATATGGGTTAATCATTTGAAAATACTGCGTCGTGACCAGTCAAGATGAGTTACGGTCGCAAGTTTAGGGTATGCACTTTTGCTAATTTCATGAGTAATGTAATTTATAATCCATCTTTCATTGTCGCATTTTAATAATTCGTTTGTAGTCAAGAAAGTTAGCGAATCCTATTCCGGATCCCACTTCTAATGAGGATTCAGATATTGATGCGCCAGTTGCATTGAACTTCAAAGATGTCGAGGAGGAGAGAATTAAAAGGGAGAAAAGTATAAAGTCAGCTATTCTTGCTTCAAAAAAGAAAGGCAAAGAAAAATTGAAATCCAAAAATGAGTCGAAGAAATCCGTATCATTCTCACTTCACACTGAATCAAGTGACAAGGCATTAAAATCCTCCGATAAGGAAGAAAGACTTGAAGAATTTGATAAGATGGTTGGCGATTTTGAATCTGGGGATCTTAACGGCGACGACAATGATGATATCGACCTCAATGAATTCTTGAATAACTCCAAAGAGAAAACGGCAAAGAAGTCTTCACATAGTGCAGATTTTTCTAACGAATTTGGCTTGGCAGATACATTTGACTTTAGGAAATATCTTCCGAAGAGTATTTTGAATGAATGTGGTAATGAAGTAGACGTAGACAGCGAGTCGGATGAAGAGCTGGCCAATGCTTTCATAGAAGGAAATTATCAAGAGGGTAAATTCTGTCAACTTTAAAGAGTTTTACTTGTTATCTTCGTTTCCTATTTTTCAATTTTAATTCATATCTTTATTAATTATTGGAGATTTCAATTATGGTTTTGTTTCTTGCTTTTCTTATTCGTAGATCACGTATTATTAATTGAAGTTTTAGTTTGGGTTATTTCTCTTGTTGTAATTAAGGATGTATCTTTTTCCCCTCACTATTAGAAAAACGTAATTTTACTTCATGAATTGGCTTCGCTTTTCTGCGCAGGAATGCTTCCTTTCTTGCTACTTTGTCATACTCTTTCCTCATTATGAAGTTTGACCATAGTAATTAGTAGTTTGTCAACGAGAAAACCCTCAAATTCTGTCTGTCTTTATCTTTCGTCCCCGCGGGTCCATTGTCCTGGAGATTTTGAGCATAATTTTCGCTGATTAATTACAGATATTTTGATTATTTTCACTTCAGTGATCTCCTATTTTATAGTTCAGCGTGATTTTTTTTATTAAATCTTACTAAATCTCCCTTTTCGAATTCTTCTTTTTTTGGATATTATCGTTAATGTGGGTTTTTAAATTGTTTCCGACAATTTTATCCTTTGCTTCGGTTTCAGGGTTGAATAGGTGCTTAGGCTTTCTGACATATTTGTCAAATAATTCCAAGCTTCTTCAGAGTAGCCTTTTTTCAAGTCATCTGTCATCCCTTTATTGGCTAGTTTTTAACAGGCCCTTCTCTGTCTGACATGATTCATCGCTTTGTGGTCTCACCATTAAATCAAATGTATATTCTTAAGCCTGTCAGCCTCATTTCCTAACAAAGTAAGATGTATAAACGACAATTTCTTAATGAAACGTTTGCCCTTGAAATTCTCTTGACGTAAATTCACTTACTTTAATGGGATCTCATTACATTACCAGGTGGCGCGTTGGTTTTAAAGTTTAATTTCAGCTATGAAAAGTTCTAAAACGTTTAAAAATCCTCCTTTGCCCTTCTCACAGTATTTTTTGTTCATTTGTCGTTTGGGTCGTCTCATCTAGCCTGTAGGTATTGTGTATTTTTCTGTTTTAAGCAAGCGGTCCTCTTGAATCGAGGTCAACATTTTTTATTGACTTGCTATTTACTTTTCGAGCAGATTCTGATGATGACGATGAGGAGCCGAAAAACAAAAAGTTGAAGGCGAAGGAGAAAAAGAAGATTCACGAATCTCATCCTATCCCTGCGCAACTCCAACCCGCCGGTGTGAGAAAGCGTGGTAGACGTGGTGGTCGTCGTCTTCACAAGAAGTATTCTACTGCTCCACTGATTATCATTCCGAGTCGACAGAATACTGCTTCTATGATTCGCAAAAGAACCGAAGCTTTCATTAAGGAACGTCTTTTTGGTGCTTCACCGAAAATAAGAGGACCCAGGCGATATACCGGAAAGGAGGAGATTGCACGTGTTAGTCTTCAGTCTAGAGCCCGCAGATTGTAAATACTTCCATCCCCCCTTTTGTGTGTAAATGTATATACTGATGATCTGAATAAAATTGTGCTAGCTACGCTAATGTTTTAAGTAGTTGTTTTGTTTTGACATCGGAAATAGAATTAGATTACATCGAGATTTATTTACAAGGTCCATGCGTCTGCTACACTTGCTTAAACTAAAAATCTCTATATCAGGATTAGATAAATTTCGTTACTTCTACAAGGTTGCAGTTCTTCCGGAATCCTGGGACCAAGAACTGAGCTGATAACATCCAGGGATTATGGTGAGGGGAAAGGGAGGCAAGCTAAGAATAAAATTTCTATGGAGCAAGAGATTAACATCCCTACAATGTGAGCGATCCAGTTAGGATCATTTGGTAGTTTAATGAAATCGTAAAGAGTCCTTTCCTACCTTTAAAGGGCTTAAAGCAGGTTGGACCACGACACATGCAATCGCAGGACCCCTCTGCATGTTGGTGTTAATGCATGACTTTTATATTGCAGATGGAG